ACAAATGTTCTCGTATAGAAGAGAATTCAAACGCAGAATTATGTTGAGCCATTATATCGCTTTCGTAGTCAGCTGGGCATCCATGTCTTTGGCATGGAAGCTCGAGCCTCCTGTTGAAATATGTATGTATATGTAAATGTAATCCCAACTTACATACTCGAAGCACCTTTAGCTAAATGCACTCTAACATTTAGAATATATGTTCATTTTTCCCACAGTTCAAAATGTGTGCCTTTTGTTACATTCAGCCATTACACGACATTGCCTGTTTTTCTTTCATTCTTTTCCTTCTTCTTTTTTGTGTACATATAAACTGAACATATGTAGGTATGTTTGTACCTACGTACATACTTTTCATTTTATACAGTTATACACACACATAATCAGCAGAGAATAAAAACTAGCGAATTGTCACCAGATTTTCAAACAATTAATTTCCTGACCCGTAACAATTGATATAAACAACTTGAGATGACAAAATTATAATTAAATTGTGTGTGTGTTTTTTTTTTTTGCCTTGTTTTTCTTTTTGATCTCGTTTTTATTTCAAATTTAATTGAAGTATATCTCACGCACTTTTTTCACTATTTACCTTTTTGGTTATTTTAAAATTATTGAATTATCGTTTGTTATATACACGCGTTTTTTCTTTAGTTAAGTATGTGTAGATACATATATACATTATGTATTTGTATATATATGCAAACATACATATGTTTTAAATGATTGGGAAAACAACAAATGTTGGGCTAAAAAGTTTTGTCAGTTCTTTTTGGTTATTTTGCTTTAATTCTTTTACTTTTCTCTATGTATTTTTGGTAGTGTAGAAAAAATTAAAAACGCGCCGTTGGTATAAAAATGTTTTAGCTTAGCGATTTTGACGTTTTGCATGCGAACCAACAACTATTTTGGCCAAATTCGCGTAGTCAGGCCAGAAGCTCTCTAACGAAGATGTTTCTTGACGCAGCAGCAGCAGAAGCAGCAGAAGATAACGGCTGCTGTACCAGAGAGTGTATATTGCAGAGAGAGAGCGTGAAAGAGAGAGAGAGAATGAAAGAGAGAGAAAGTAGTCAAAACAGAGAGAGAAAGAAAGCACATCAACGATTGTCAAACGAATTAAGCTTTTGTTTTGATGCTAGCGCCTGCGCAATACAATTTAAAATATTCCAACAGCATTGCCAGCT